ATTTCGATAGATTATCTCATTAGTGATGGCCAGTAGTAGCTAGTTTTGCACGAAACTTCAACATTATCACAATCAATTGAGTGTCCTTGTTGGCACGCGTGTTCTGCTACTGCATTTTGGAGAATTTAATATTTCTCTGACGTCTCCTTCATAATCACTGTGACAGCAGCTATTATTGTAAGTCTAGAGTTAAGACTTATGGACAGTAAATATGCAATCATTCTCCCGTATATCGTTGAGTAACATACAGAAGCACATTTTGGAATAGCTACATTCACCGTTGCGCATAAGTTCGGAATAAACATTATAGAAAATAAAATCGAAATATAAAATATTTGTCCTGACATTTTTGTTTTCAGATCACAAAATCTCTGGAGATTCCAATCGAGTTCACTAAAAAGTCAATTCGTGTTGACGCTACTTATTTATTTTCACGTCGGCTATTTTCATTTTATTCTTTGGTTCTTTCGGTAAAGTCACGTATAAAGAAAAAATAATAAATAAAATAATAGCATACGACGTTTCGATTGCAACACAAGCAATCATCATCAGGTATAATGAAATAGCGACATAAAATCTAACCAGAAAAAATTATAGACAGACATATAAGCAGACAGATATCACCAAGATACACACAGCGGGCAACACAGGTACAGAGAGGGGTGATCGTCTCTGTGGGGTGGCCTTAAATAGACAGAGGGGGGCGGAGGCAGAGAGAGGGAGGGGTAGAGACAAAATTTACATGTCAATGAGTACAACAAAAAGGAGTGAGCAGGCTTAGGGGGAGAAAGAGACACACTAAAATTAAATAACCTAGCAAAGTATCGAAATGTTGTGTAAAACGACACTTTCATTTTATTTTATTTTCATTTTATTCAAGCAAAGTTCCGGGCAGGGAACAAGGCCCGATGTGAATCCCACAACCCCAGGTGGATGGGGGTCGGCTCAGCCCACAATTCCTCCAGGATCGATACAAATGCGTACCACGTTGTGGGGAAGTCGAACAATCGTTGTCCCAAGATTAGGACTCTCTCTCTCTCTCTCGTGCCACAGGAACGTGGAGTTTCCACCGCAGGCTCAGGGCTGTACACGGGAGATCAGCATCTGAGCGAGATGCGGAATAGAAACACAAATCGGAAGCATTGGTTTAGCGTATTTCTCCTGATTCAAACGTGCTCCGTTCACGCCCCCTCTACATCTTTAGAAGGCCACGGTGTGGGGGTGCGTCTTATACTCCGGTAGCTGTGTCCACGCACGCGGCCTGGTTCGCACAACTTTTACACGAGTTTGAGGCGCGTCTTTACCCGCTTCGGGGCGTCTTTCACTCTCTAATTAATAACCCTAACATTAATATTGACTCAATATTGTGCACGTGTATTTAACTCAATTGACATTAATTAATAATTTCAGTAATGTTGCTATACTCTTTGGTTCTTTCGGGTAAAGTCACGTGGGTAGAAAAATGTAACATAAAATAATATATCACGACGTTCGATCGCAACACAAGCGGTCGTCCTGCGGAACCAGCGAGAGAGCTGTTCCAACAAGAGGTGTTTGACGCGGCGAAGGGCAAGCAGGCGGGGTCTGAGCTGGAAAGGAATTCCATCCCTGCACGCAAGCACGTCAGTTGTGTTAATGGGGGAGGTTAGGGAGAGGGAGATTAGCATAGAATCAGAGCACCTGTCCCCGCATGTGCACAACAGCAGTGTTAATGGGAGATTAGCACTATGTTGATAGGAGAGATTAGGGGGATTAGCAAGCTAATGTCATGTCTATGTGTCAGAGGTCACAAACGGGGTTTGATTCCTTACCCGTACCCATACCCGGCTGCACCAGGGTCGCAAACAGGTACCCGTACCCGGCCGTACCCGTACCCTACCCGTACCCGGCCGGGTATCGGGTAGGGTACGGGTACCCGATTGCGACTTCTGGGATGAAGCCATGTTGCAGGCGCGGGTGGGTTGATTCTAGGAACTTGAATTGTGAGAAGAGACAAGACGTTGGGAAATGAGTGACAAACGGTTACTCACCAGTGACTCACGGCCTACCCGTACTCGTACCCGGCTGCACCAGGGTCGCAAACGGGTACCCAGCCGGGTACGGGTAGCCGGGTATCGGGTAGGGTACGGGTATCGGGTACCCGATTGCGACCTCTGCTATGTGTAGCACACCGGGAGAATGGCGGTCGGGCGGCCCACACGGGACAACGGCGCTCGCTGCTCGTTGCAGAGGCTTTGGGCTTTGAGGTTCGAACTCCCCGGCGGCCGCCCCGGTTAAGTAGCGCGATGCCGCATCGACCATCGTCGCGATGCGACCGCTAGGCCGCCGTCGGCTTCACTCAAGGTCGGACATTAAAGACCTCCCCACCACCCACCACCGCCCCCAGGGTAATTCGCAACGAGTGGGCTGTTGCGTCCCTGCGTCAGATTAAAAAAAAAAAACCTCATCTCTTGAGAACTGCTTGTTGTTGTTGTTTAGTTCGTTGTTGCCCCCCCCCCCCCCCCCATGTACACACCTCCGATTAGCGCGGTTGGCTACGTACGGTGCGAAGGAAGTTCAACACAGACACGTACACATACGTACATACGTGCAGTAGATGCGGTGGCAAACACGGCACGTGCCGAAACGCTGGCGCGTGCGACGACGACTCATCGATAGAAATCGATTCCTACGCCCCGTTTGCACCATGATACCTTCGCGGATCTCGTCAAAGACCAAAAACCACCATCACGCGAACTCCGGTCATCCTCGCTGCAGCAGCGGCTTGCGGCTGGCCGTCAAACAAAGACGGCGGTCACCGCATCGCACCCCTTTCGCATGCGCTTCTGCGGCCGTCTGGAATGTTCTTCCTTCCGAGCTGTGCACTTTTAAATCATCTAGATTGACAAACGTATTTATTTCGAACTGCTTTGTGCGTTTAGTTTGTTCTTTCCCCCACACCTCCAATAAGCGCGGTTGTCTACGTACAGTACAAAAGAAGCTCAACAAAGACAATAATCCCCCAAATCGCCTGAACAGACTGCCGGGGCAAGTGCTGCTAGCGAGTAGCAGCACCTGTGAAGGCCGGAGCTGTGGCACACGAGGGGGTGGGTGGCCAGCAACCACGCCCGGCCGCGTTTGCCTCCCCCAGCGATGATGCTTACGACACACCGCACCGGGTACTCATTTGAGGCTGAGTCGACCTAAGGGAGGCCCAGGACCAGTTCAGATAATCGTCACCGGGTGTTCGCCGCGAGAGTGAATCGAACCCGGGCCGCCAAGTTCATAGCGCAGCATAGCTGCGCTATGAAACACAATCAGGGTCCAAATTCAAAAATCACATCGCAAACTCCTCAGTTGGGATTGCACACGCTGCATATGCAATCGTCGCCCGCTACTGCCAGAGCGACTCCATGGGCCAAGGTCGCTCTCACGAAGGCGACCCCCTTCCTGGTCTCTTGCGCTCTCACCGGGGAATTCGACTCGGAACTCGGAGGGGCTCTGAGAAATGGAACGACGGGCCGGTTATTTTGTTCAGGGGCCCGAACCCCCCCCCCCCCCCCCCAAAATAAACAATGAAAGTTCTCATTCCTGTTCAGCAGCTCGGAAACCGTCGTTCGTTAACGGAGCCACCGATCCCTTAGGCTCACGACGGAACCCGTTGGGTTTGAGCGCGAGCGTCGGTCACTTGCGATCCGCGCAAATGATGCGCGGACGCGAAATCCGGGTGAGGAATGGCGAAAACTGTGCAAGAAAACAGGAAACGGTACAAACGAGACGGTGAAAATGAGACCGAGTATCTGAACGTAAGAATGGAATAGTATTACAGGTAGGAACAACAGTTCCACACTGCCCACCAGGGATTATTTGTCTGTCTGTCGTGTATAGCCACGCCCTCGATTTGTATTTCATAGAGCGCTTTGGGCGGGGTCAGCACCACGTGACGCACTGACCCACGCAGCTTGCGCCACGTGACACGTATCGCACGAATGCGGCCGTCCAACCAAGTTCCTACCTTAATTCTAGATTTGAAGCTTTCGTGACTGCAAGGATTCATACTCTTAGGTTTTTTCGGTAAAGTCACTTAGGTAAACAAATAATAATAATAAAATGAAAGTAAATGAAAATAACTAAATTTAATAATTAATTTAATTTAGCTATTTTCATTTATTATTATTTTATTATTATTATTTTACCTACGTGACTCTACCGAAAAAAACCTAAGAGTAAGTTCCTACCTGCCCACTCCGAAGGAACGTGTTTTCAGCGGTTGCACTCGATCCCTCCACCCAATGGCGATTCAGTGTAACTGCACAGCACCCAGTTACTACCTGAATAGTATTGTAGACAGTTCGTACCGTGCGTCTCATGGATGATCTCATATGTACTATTTAAAATATTTTTTATTTTACCAGATAAGGCCCACCGAGCGAGATGAGAGCTCTTTTTCAGAAGCGACCTGGCCACCACAAGCGGTAGCACAACGCAGTGGGCTCAACGTCGTGTGGACATTCATGGCAGCCAAACAACTCGAAACGCGCGACGTCCATTCTCAATGTGGAGGGAATAACCGGACGGGACCGAGGAAAATCCACGCGACGACGGGGAGAGAAACACGCAGACTCCAAATATACAGCAGGTCAAGGCCGTAATTATAATATGGGGGGGGGGGGACACATCCCCCCCCCCCCCCCCAATATTCAAACATGCTCAAAATGTCCCCCCCAATATATTGCTATAAAATAGATTTCTGTTTATATGATTGTGGTTATGGTTGTACTTTATTAATCCCTAATCTCTGCCATTACATACAATGAAACAAGAAAAGGTAAAAAAGGTAAAAACAGAGCAATGTAATACAATACACTATTAGACATTATTGTAAGAAATAAATAAAAAGTCCATCCCATGTGTTAGTGAATTTTTTTATATTTTAGGCAGGAAATTCGTTTTCAAATTTAGATTTTTTTTTCTGGGGGGGGGGGAGGGCCCAGACCCCTGGAAGATTTGGTCCCCCCCAATGTTGACTCCATGGCTACGGCCTTGCAGCAGGCGACAGGTCCTGTGTGGACTGGCCGGTCTCACTGGCATGCCGTTTCGTATTGTGCATTCATTTGTGCCGCCACGCTTGTTTGTTCCATCTCATTCTGTCGTGTGTGCTGTCTCGTGCGTGCTTATCCAGTGTGGTACCATCTCATCTGTACCGTCATGTTTTCCCAAGGGCCTGCATGGGCACCACGGTGGTTAGGAGATGTTAACTACCTCGCCTGGTATACAGGAGGTCGTGGGTTCCATGCTGACCCTGACGCCTGCTGCTGTATATTTGTAGTTTCCGTGTCTCTCTTTCTTTCCCCGTGGTCGCGTGGATTTTTCTCCGGGTCCTCCGGGTTTTCTCCCTCCACGTTTAGAATTAGCGTCACGCGTTGAGAGTATTCGTTATTTATGAATGCAAATTAATTCGGTTCAAGTTTGAAAAAATAAGAATAGGTTTCACCCTCTCTGGAAACAGGTGTTAAGATGTTCAAACACCAAGTAGAAACCTTGTGTAAGGAATCAAGTTCGCATTAAAAACACACGGTACTTGCGGTGAACATTCAAACAAACATGCTCTGATAATTAAATATGCATTGTCTTTGAAACTGATTGGCCTACACCAGAGAGACAGCCTTCTTCATGGCCTCGTCTCACCACCAGTGTCAGACCAGAGAACGCCACAAGGCGAACAGGACAAAGACCATGCACGTAGCAGAGCACTCATTGCTCGGAGGGCAGAGGCAGAGCGGGCGGGAAGAGTGGCGGTGCTACCGACACGCGGGAACGACGCTGGCGCCTCCCGCTCCCACGTCTGTGCCGCCTTTGTCGATGTCCGTGTGCGTCTTTATAGCCGTCGCTCACTTGCGCCGGAAGCCCAAACGATTCTGGCGCCTCTCGCTCTCGTACCGCTCTTGTTTGGGACTTGCGCTTTACGCTCACGACCATTGGATACCCCTCAACTGTGAGTAGCGCAACATTTAGCGGGGAGAGCCTCTGCAACTCCTCCTCCACGACGCCTGTTGCCGCTCTGCCTCTCTGCCGCTCTGCCGCGTCCGCGGGGGCGAATCGTCGTCCGCCCCTGCACGCCACGAAGCGCGAACTGGAAAAAGCAGAAATGGTGGCGGCACTCGAAAGGGGCCCCCGGGAAGCGGCTCTGCGGTATCCGCTTCCGCGGGGACGGCACAAAAGGGTCGCGGGGTTACGGGGTGAGGGGTCGTGAGGTCACGGGGTCGCACCGCCTCCCACCCCCGCCCCCAGCTGAATCCTTCGTCCCGTGCCCCGGCACCATCAGGGATTTTAAAATTGGGGGAGGAAAGACAAAAAGCATCACATCCAGAAGACGGGAGGCGTTCGTTTTTGGAGTGGAATCTCTCTTTAATAGATGTTCGCTAACAACAGCACTTGCCTCAACAGTTTATTTATAAGGCAAAATGGGGGGGAGGCATGTGTGTGTTAGTGTGTGCATGTGTGCACATGTAGTGGGGTGGGGGAGCAGTCGTGCAGCGAGCGGTCAGCACGCCGCGTAACGAACCCGGCGACCCGAGTTCGATTCCCGCTCATGGCCGGCGACGATTATTTGAACCGGTCCTGGGCCTCCCCTAGGTCGATTCGACCTGGTGCGGTGTGCGGTAAACATCGGCCCGAGGGAGACAAAGGCGGTCGGGCGTGGTGCTGGCCACTCACCCCCTCGTGTGCCGTGCCGGCCGTCATAGGTGCTACTCGCTAAAAGCACTTGTCCCAACAGTCTGTTACAGGCTATAGGGGGGACCTTTGTCTCTTGCGTGTCAGTAGTGTCACGGTGCGCAGAAGCATTCTCAGCATATAATAGAGACGCCGGCTTTAACCGGGTCGCCGCTGTCTGCCCGGAACCGGCCAAACGGCCACATCTCGCGTCCCGGCGCCGCGCTCGCAAGGCTCCACAGCGAGCCCCGGGCAAGGGGCCCTCCTCCTGCTTCTACCCCGGCGGCATCGCCGGCGGCTTCGTCGGCGGCTTCCAAATCGCAGTCCCGCCCGGCGACGTCCTCCTCCAAGTCCGGGAACGCGACCTCCCCGGCGCTCGTCCCCGCGCCGACGCCGCCGCCGCCGCCGGCCCCTCCCGGCTTCTTGGGAATGCGGAATCCGCCCCAGTTTGTGGAGGGCCCCGCCGGCGCGGACCGCGCCACGCGGATCTTCGTCGCCCCCACCGCTTGCGCTCCGCTCCTCTTCGACGCCGCCGCGGCCACGGCCGCCGGTGCCGCGGTCGCGGCGGCTGCGGCCGTCGAAGCCCCCGCGGTGGCGCCGGCCGCCGATTTGCTGCGTCGGCCCCTCCGCCGGGGGCCCGCGCTCGCCGTGTCCGTCGCGCCGGTTCCGGGGCCCCGTCGCCGGCCGACCGAGGCGGAGGAGCGAGCGTGCTGGCGGCGGCGCCGCCGCTTGCGCCGGCGCGGGGCCCCCGGGCGCCCGTCGGCGCTGCTGCCGCTGCTGCTGCCGCCGTCGCCGGCGCCGCTGCTGCCGCCGTCGCTGCTGCTGCTGCTGTCGCGGGACTTGCGATGGCGCGGAGCGCCCCGGGGTTTCCTTGCCGTGCCCGCGAGGGAAGGCCCTGCAGGAGGAGAGAGAAGTGGGGGGTGGGGGGAGCTATTAAATCTATGATTCTGATGACAGCATCTTTACACGCGAGCGGCGCTCTAATTGCGTCGCGGCTGTTCACCCACCAAATGTCAACGGTTCAGCGCCCACGTGAACGCAAACACGTCGGCAAATAAACCGACTGCCGTGAGAAGCTATCATAAAAGAAGATGACGCCCGCTAGGCGTTCACCCCCATCCTGCGACACATCGAGCCCCATTTACACGTGTTGGGCATAGACTGTGTTTCAGTTTCATCCGGGCCGCCCCTCCTCCCCGAAGTTGACTGCATATAGGGGGGCACCAACGTGGCTAGGAGATGTTAACTGCCTCGCCTGGTATATAGGAGGTCGTGGGTTCGATCCCAACCCTGACGATGCCTGCTGCTGTATATTTGGAGTCTGCGTGCCTCTCTCTCTCATCATCATCACGGTGGCTAGGAGATGTCAACTACGACTACAATTCCGACCCTGATGCCTGTTGTATATTTGGAGTCTGCGTCTCTCTCCCAGTGGTCGCGTGGATTTTTCTCCGGGCTCTCCGGTTTTTCCCTCCACAGTTAGAATCAACGTCACTCGTTCAACGTATTTGGCTCAGAAAATGTCCACACGACGATAAGCCCCTTCGCCGAGCTACCATTTGCGGCCAGGTCGCTTCGGAAAAAGGGCTACATAGCTCAGCGGGCTTTACCTGGTCAAATAAAAACAGTAACAGTCTTAGTACAGCGATGAACTTTCAAAATTTAATACAAATAAACCCGGCGCCTCGCGGCGTTTTTCGCGACACGCGGCGTTTAACGACGGCGGAGGGATACGCACGTGCGCAGAGGCCGCCGCTGTCGTCGGCGGCGGCGTCGGCGGCAGGAGGAGACGCCAAGGCGAGCTGCACCCGCCTCCAGAAGAGCTGCTCGTGGAGACGCGCCAGGGCGCTCTTGAGCTTCTCCCGGCGCGACACCATGTAGCACAGGTTCCTCGCCTGCTCCCACGGGTACCACGCCATCATCGTTAGCGATGGGGGGGGGGGGGGGGGGCACAGACTACACCATGTAGCAGAGGTACTGCGCCTGTTCCCGCCGGCATCACGGGTCACCTCTGAAAACGAGCTACATTGCTCAGTGAGTCTCCCCCTGGTAAAATAAAAATAGCTTAATAGTTTCGTTTCAAAGAATAGTTTTTGAAATATATTTTTTAAACATCTCGGAGCAACAAACCAACCACAGCAGGGACGTGTTTTCGATTTTCGAATTGAAGGGAAAATACCGAAAACTCCGCCTCGTTATGGAACGCTGGGAGGGTCTGAATTATTTTTTAATCTTGTAGACAAATCCGAAAATGCGACGTCATGGGAAATGGCGTCGCCTGCGTGGCATCACGTCCACGCTCTTCCCGCCAACGCCAAAAGCAGGCGTCACGGGGCGCCGGGGGACGTCACTTCTGTCAGCACGGAAATTGACGTAGCGACATTCCGACCGAATTGCAAACGCACGCCGTGTCAACCCATACTTCTTTAGCTGCTGCAGCTACATACTATTAACATTCCTTCCCTTTATTAATGCTAACCCTACTCCCTCCCTTTGATGCTGCTAATCCTGCATAATGCACGGGCATAAATATGCTAAATTCCTCTTGATATGGAAATTCCTTTGTCAAGGCGCTCTTCCCCCTCCAACCCAGCTTAAATATACGCTGCCAAGCTTGGTGGTGTTCAGTCAGACGCTGTCTTTCCGACAGACCTGTTCTTCACCTGAGGACGGCTGCTTGCGTTGTGGCCGAAACGTCGTGAGAATTATTTTATTATGTTTTATTTTTATTATTTTATTATTTCCCTTCTACGTGACTTTACCGAAAGAACCAAGAAGATCAACCTATACTATTTACCCCGTATTCTTGTGCAGGGAAATTGAATTTTCAGGTAAACACGGCGTACAGCCGTTTCAACACGGGCTTTGTAGGATGAACGTTGATATTTATAATGGGCTCGGGGTGACCAATGAGGTCTGAATTGGTCTGTAATAAGGTAACCACTGATAAGGGGTTGACTGGTATGCCAATGACCCAGATTTTCCGTAAATAATCCGAATAAAATTTCCTCTTTTACCCAAAACTCATCCCCCTAAACCACGGCGTGCGTGCAAAAAAGTAAGAATTCCTCAATCAACAGTAGTAATGTGATGATGAAAATCAACACAATACTTTCTCAATGAATCAACGGGAGTACGATTGCGCCCATTCTTTGGCGACGCTGCCGATGGAAGTGGGCTAAGAGGACGACGAAGAAGAAGGTGGCGCATCGCCTGACACGTCACCGATAATTCGTATCAAAATAATAAAAACCTTCGAAGTATCTTCTTCACTGGTAACTCTCAAATACCAATTCTCTGGGTCTCAAGCGGAGGGAGAAATTTCCTCCATCACCGCCCCCCCAACTAAACTGGGGGAAGAAATGCACAGATCCCCCGTATAGCCTTAACAGACTGTAGGGGCAAGTGCTGTTAGCGAGCACGAGGGGGTGGGTGGCCAGCACAACGCCCGACCGCCTTTGTCTCCCCAGTGGCGATGTTTACACACCACGTCGGGTAATCATTTGAGACCGAGTCGACCTAGGGGAGGCCCAGGACCGGTTCAGATAATCGTCACCGGCGTTGGCCGTGAGCGGGAATCGAACCCGGGTCGCCGCGTTCGTAGCGCAGCGTAGCGCTAACCACTACACTACCAAGACACACACACGCACACACACACGCATGCACACGCACACACACGCACACACACGCACACACGCACCGTACCCGCTCGAGATTCTGCCGCAGGTGCGTGAGGGAGTTCATGTCCCGCTGGGCAGCGCTCTCCTCCTCCTCTCCCGTCGTCGCCGTCGTCACCACCGCCACCTCCGCGTGGCGCTCCTCCTCCTCCGCCTCCTCCTCGTCATCCTCATCGTCCTCGTCCTCCCCGTCCTCCTCGCTGTGCCCCTCCACCTCGTCGGCGTCGTCGTCCGCGTGAGCCGGGGACGACGACGATGACGACGATGACGGCGACGGCGGCGGCGACTTGGCCGAGAGGGTCGGAGGCCTGGCAGTGAGGACGCCGCACCAACGATTAAGGCTCCATTCTTACAGCCTGGCGGGGGCAGCACCACGCGTGCGGACGCGTCGTGCGTCTGCGGGTGGACGCGGCTCAGCACCGTGTACAGGAGGTCGTGGGTTCCTGTAAACTACGACCTCCTGTATACCAGGCGAGGTAGGTAACATCTCCTAGCCACCGTGGTGATGATGAGAGAGAGACACGCAGACTCAAAATATACAGCAGGCGTCAGGGTCGGGATCGAACCCACGACCTCCTGCATAATGTCAGACGTGCGGATTTAGCAGAGAGAGAGAGACTGGGGGTGGTCAGTCGTAGGCAGGGGAAACAACGGAGCCCTTAAACTTGAGCCAGGACTTGACCAGGGGCCAAGGAGTCAACAACACTAATGCCAGCTGGAGTCCAGACTGTGGGCAGCAGCAGTAGCAGCAACAGCAGTAGCAGCAGCAGTAGTAGTAGCAGCAACAGCAGCAGTAGTAGCAGCAGCAGTAGCAGCAGTAGTAGTAGCAGCAGCAGATGTAGTAGCAGCAGCAGTAGTAGTAGCAGTAGTAGTAGCAGCAGCAGTTGTAGTAGCAGCAGCAGTAGCAGTAGTAGCAGCAGGAACAGCAGCAGTAGTAGTACCAGTAACAGCAGCAGTAGTAGCAGCAGTAGCAGCAGTAGTAGCAGCAGCAGTTATAGTAGCAGCAGTAGCAGCAGCAGGAGTAGCAGCAGCAGTAGCAGCAAGAGCAGCAGTAGCAGCAGCAGTAGCAGCAGTAGTAGTAGCAGGAGTAGTAGCAGCAGTTGTAACAGCAGCAGTAGCAGCAATAGCAGCAGCAGCAGTAGTAGCAGCAGTAGCAGCAGTAGCAGCAGCAGTAGCAGCAGTAGCAGCAGTAGTAGCAGAGGAGAGTTAGTTAGGTTTTTGTTTGGGTTCGATCGCGTGAATATGAACGCGTCGTGAAACCCGCCATCCACCCGACACGGCCAACTGGTAAGGTTTGTAACGTAAACAAAACCTGCCGTCACCCGTTCGGCGCTAACCGGTTGATGTGTTGGAGAGTAAAGCCACGACATTTCGCTGGTGATTACAACCGGCATCATCAGGCGAGAATTAGTGACCTTCCACTAAGCGAAGATTTTGCGGAGGCTTTCACAATGCATTAAATTGCTCGTCTTACGATTTGTGAACATCACAAGCAAAATGTACACTCGCACAAACAATAACTACCCTTTGGTTTTTTCGGTAAAGTCACGTAGGTAAAAAATTTAATGAAAAAACAACTAAATTAAATCACGACGTTTCGGAGGCAACACAAGCTTCCATCTTCAGGTGGAAGCCTCACAGCAAAATTACTGTATCAAGTGAAGAGAGCTCTAAGAGACACGAGACTATATACAGGTTAAGGGGCGAAAACAATACGAACGAGACGAGAGATAGGAACCGATCCTCGACGCGTCTTGTGGACGAGCCGTCGGACCGCGACGACGTTCAGCCTCAACGCGCGCCGACCTGTGAGGCTCCGGCACGGCCGCCGGCTTCGGCACGGACGGAGTCGTCAGCAGGGGCCGGTCGAAGCCGCTCTTCCTGCGCAGCTTCCAGAACTGGTAGACGAGGTCTGCGGCGGCGGCGCTGGCGGAGCCGGCGCGTCCCAGGGCCGGCGCCGCGTCTGCCGCGCCGGCGAGCGTGTAGAACTCCTCCTCCAGGCGCCGCAAGCGCTCCCTGCGCATCTCCGCGACCGCGTCCGCGATGCCGCCGTCGCCGCCGTCGTCGTCGTCGCCGCCGCCGGCGCGTCGCGCCGCTGCCACGCCGGTGGCGGCCGCCCGTCGCCCGCCAGGGAGCTCCTCCCAATCCCAGTCCGTGCTGCCGGTCGGCGTGGTGGCGACGCCGGCGCCGTCCGGGGGGAATTCGGGAGACGGCGGAAGGGAGCAGCCTCGGTTGCCGATGTGGGAGGCTTGCGAGGGCGAGCGCGACGGAGGCTGCGGGTGCTGCTGTTGCTGAAGGCGCTGCTGGCGCTGCGTGTGCTCGGGGCAGTAGGAGCGGAAGCGGACGCGGTCCGTGCGCTCGTCCAGGAAGGTGGCCATGTCGAGGCCGCCATGGAAGCCGCAGGTCACGTGGAAGGCGCGCACGCACGTGTGCTCCGAGCACTGTGGGCGCGCGCAGAGTCAAGTGCATACACACACATACACATAGGGTCAAAGAAACAGGGACGCACACAGATATGTGCACGCACGCAGACATGTGCACACAGACACACAAATACACACACACGTACAGGCATGCGAACACACGCACGGAGACGCACACAGACACGCAGAAACACACGCACACCCACACCTGCACAGACACGTGCACGCACGCAGACAAGCACACACAGACATGCACACACCACAGACACGCACACACCACAGACACACACACACACCACAGACACACACACACCACAGACACGCACACACCACAGACACGCACCAGGGTTGCGATTTCCGCATGGAAAATGCGGAAGGAGGGTTCAAATTTTCCCGCATTTTTGCTAAAGTCAACCGCAAACGGTGGAAAGACTACTCCTATGACCGCGCGCTTTTAACAACACGTTAATGCGTTCTATTGGAAAGGATACATGCAAGGCCCAGCATCACGTAGGGCTTTGAGTTACTGATTGGAATGAATATATGATTTCCGCATTTCCGCACAAGAACCACATACTTTATTCAAATGCGGAGCCGTGATTACGAGCACATGTACTTTCACTTCTTCGCATTCTTCCAGCGCTTCATGTCGTCTTCAGCGTGAAAGATGCTGAGTTTTAGCTTGTCGCGGGCGCAAACTATAAGCGCGTTCAACTGCTTGCACGAGAGGAGCAACCACTCCTCGGGCTTGATGTTGTTTTGCAGAGAGAAAGCCCTCTCACAGCCGACCGACCTGTGCGCCAAAGTTTTAATCGTTAGCAGTAAAGTGTATATATTCGCAGGAGGTATAAAGTAGCTACGACAGAGGCAAATGAGCGTACGCTGGACGAGGATATTACCTGAGCGGAAACGCGTGTGTATCTGAGCGTATCGAAAACAGCGTGGGTATCTGAGCGCTTGACCAAAATTGCCAGTGGATTTCCCAACGCGCTGCAATCTGAGCGACGATGAATAGTTTTGCATATCGACAGAATATGAATAAAGAAAAAGCTACAGTTTTTTGTTTTTCCTTTGTCGCTACGAGTACTGCGAGGGCTCCGAATGGCAGACGCTAGGAGACATCATGGGGCTGGGCAAAAGGGCCTGAGCACAGCGCCGGGGGTTGCGTCGATCCGGAAAGATGCAACCGTAGGGATTCCTATCGGCGACAAACATGTCAACGGTGGCGTCAGGTACTTGTGGCAAGTGTGCTTCATCGACGGGATCGACAAGTACTTCGACGCACAAGAGCTCGCGGCTCTCATTGATTTTTTCACAGTTCGTGCGCACCAACAACGCTGTCTGAATGCAGGAATCCATAGTTCATATATACATATCGTTTTTTCCAGAAGTCAGCAGAGCCAAATGGGCATACGCAAGATATGTGCGCCAACCGCGCGAGTACGGCACCGAGAAAGGCGGGAATCGAAGTCACGATTTGCGGAAGTCTTCACAGGAATCACCGCAAATTGCGGAAATTTGTGCGGAAGAGGGTCACAGAAACTACCGCAAAATGCGGTCGAAAACAGCATGTTTGCGGAAATTGGTGCGGAAATCGCAACCCTGACACGCACACACCACAGACACACACACACCACAGACACGCACACGCGCAGCCACTGTTTTTAAGCCAGGTTCACACAGCCAGGTGTGTATGTGCATGTGCTAGGGTGTTGATTCGGTGCTCAAAATTAGTAATTTGGCCCCCCCCCTTCTGGTCCGTTAAACCGTAGGTTCACAGTATGCGTGATGTTGAACTTCTTTCGCATCGTACGCAGCCAACCGTGCCAATCGGAGGTACAGTGTTGAGTCTATGGGCAGTGTTGAGTCTATGGGCAGTGTTGAGTCTATGGGCAGTGTTGAATCTATGGGCAGTGTTGAGTCTATGGGCAGTGTTGAGTCTATGGGCAGTGTTGAGTATATGGGCAGTGTTGAGTCTATGGGCAGTGTTGAGTCTATGGTGCAGTGTTGAGTATATGGGCAGTGTTGAGTCTATGGGCAGTGTTGAGTGTATGGGCAGTGTTGAGTCTATGGGCAGTGTTGAGTCTACGGGCAGTGTTGAGTCTACGGGCAGTGTTGAGTCTATGGGCAGTGTTGAGTCTATGGGCAGTGTTGAGTCTATGGGCAGTGTTGAGTCTATGGGCAGTGTTGAGTCTATGGGCAGTGTTGAGTCTATGGGCAGTGTTGAGTCTATGGGCAGTGTTGAGTCTATGGGCAGTGTTGAGTCTATGGTGCAGTGTTGAGTCTATGGGCAGTGCTGAGTCTATGGGCAGTGTTGAGTCTATGGGCAGTGTTGAGTCTATGGGCAGTGTTGAGTCTATGGGCAGTGTTGAGTCTATGGGCAGTGTTGAGTCTATGGGCAGTGTTGAGTCTATGGGCAGTGTTGAGTCTATGGGCAGTGTTGAGTCTATGGGCAGTGTTGAGTCTATGGGCAGTGTTGAGTCTATGGGTAGTGTTGAGTCTATGGTGCAGTGTTGAGTCTATGGTGCAGTGTTGAGTCTATGCGCAGTGTTAGTCTATGGGCAGTGTTGAGTCTATGGGCAGTGTTAGTCTATGGGCAGTGTTGAGTCTATGGGCAGTGTTGAGTCTATGGGCAGTGTTGAGTCTATGGGCAGTGTTGAGTCTATGGTGCAGTGTTGAGTCTATGGGCAGTGTTGAGTCTATGGGCAGTGTTGAGTCTATGGGCAGTGTTGAGTCTATGGGCAGTGTTGAGTCTATGGGTAGTGTTGAGTCTATGGGCAGTGTTGAGTCTATGGGTAGTGTTGAGTCTATGGTGCAGTGTTGAGTCTATGGTGCAGTGTTGAGTCTATGCGCAGTGTTAGTCTATGGGCAGTGTTGAGTCTATGGTCCAGTGTTGAGTCTATGGGCAGTGTTGAGTCTATGGGCAGTGTTGAGTCTATGGTGCAGTGTTGAGTCTATGGGCAGTGTTGAGTCTATGGGCAGTGTTAGTCTATGGGCAGTGTTGAGTCTATGGGCAGTGTTGAATCTATTGGCAGTGTTGAGTCTGTGGTGCAGTGTTGAGTCTATGGGTAGTGTTGAGTCTATGGGCAGTGTTGAATCTATTGGCAGTGTTGAGTCTATGGTGCAGTGTTGAGTCTATGGGCAGTGTTGAGTCTATGGGCAGTGTTGAGTCTATGGGCAGTGTTGAGTCTATGGTGCAGTGTTGAATCTATTGGCAGTGTTGAGTCTATGGTGCAGTGTTGAGTCTATGGGCAGTGTTGAGTCTATGGGCAGTGTTGAATCTATTGGCAGTGTTGAGTCTATGGGTAGTGTTGAGTCTATGGGCAGTGTTGAGTCTATGGGCAGTGTTGAGTCTATGGGCAGTGTTGAGTCTATGGTGCAGTGTTGAGTCTATGGGCAGTGTTGAGTCTATGGGCAGTGTTAGTCTATGGGAAGTGTTGAGTCTATGGGCAGTGTTGAGTCTATGGGCAGTGTTAGTCTATGGGCAGTGTTGAGTCTATGGGCAGTGTTGAGCCTATGGGCAGTGTTGAGTCTATGGGCAGTGTAAGTCTATGGGCAGTGTTGAGTCTATGGGCAGTGTTGAGTCTATGGGTAGTGTTAGTCTATGGGTAGTGTTAGTCTATGGGCAGTGTTGAGTCTATGGGCAGTGTTAGTCTATGGTGCAGTGTTGAGTCTATGGGCAGTGTTGAGTCTATGGGTAGTGTTAGTCTATGGGCAGTGTTGAGTCTATGGGCAGTGTTGAGTCTATGGGTAGTGTTAGTCTATGGTGCAGTGTTGAGTCTATGGGCAGTGTTGAGTCTATGGGTAGTGTTAGTCTAGGGGCAGTGTTGAGTCTATGGGCAGTGTTGAGTCTATGGGTGGTTGTTAGTCTTATGGTGCAGTGTTGAGTCTATGGGCAGTGTGAGTCTATGGGCAGTGTTTAGTCTATGGTGGCAGTGTGAGTCTTGGGCAATGTGGTCTATGGGCAGTGTTGAGTCTATGGGCAGTGTTGAGTCTATGGGCAGTGTTTGAGTCTATGGGCAGTGTTGAGTCTATGGGCAGTGGTTAGTCTATGGGCAGTGTAGTCTATGGGCATTGTTGAGTCTATGGGCAGTGTTGAGTCTATGGGCAGTGTTGAGTCTATGGCAGTGTTGAGTCTATGGCAGTGTTGAGTCTATGGTGCAGTGTTGAGTCTATGGGCAGTGTTGAGTCTATGGGCAGTGTTGAGTCTATGGGCAGTGTTGAGTCTATGGGCAGTGTTGAGTCTATGGCAGTGTGAGTCTATGGGCAGTGTTGAGTCTATGGGTAGTGTTGAGTCTATGGGCAGTGTTGAAGTCTATGGCAGTGTTGAGTCTATGGTGCAGTGTTGAGTCTATGGGCAGCGTTGAGTCTATGGGCAGTGTTGAGTCTATGGGCAGTGTTGAGTCTATGGTGCAGTGTTGAATCTATTGGCAGTGTTGAGTCTATGGTGCAGTGTTGAGTCTATGGGCAGTGTTGAGGTCTATGGGCAGTGTTGAATCTATTGGCCAGTGTTGAGTCTATGGGTAGTGTTGAGTCTATGGGCAGTGTTGAGTCTATGGGCAGTGTGAGTCTATGGGCAGGTTGAGTCTATGGTGCAGTGTTGAGTCTATGGGCAGTGTTGAGTCTATGGGCAGTGTTGAGTCTATGGGCAGTGTTGAGTCTATGGGCAGTGTTGAGTCTATGGGCAGTGTTGAGTCTATGGGCAGTGTTGAGTCTATGGGCAGTGTTGAGTCTATGGGCAGTGTTGAGTCTATGGGCAGTGTAGTCTATGGGCAGTGTTGAGTCTATGGGCAGTGTTGAGTCTATGGGCAGTGTTAGTCTATGGTAGGTTAGTCTATGGTTGTTGAGTCTATGGGCAGTGTTGAGTCTATGGTGCAGTGTTGAGTCTATGCATGTTGAGTCTATGGTGCAGTGTTGAGTCTATGGGCAGTGTTGAGTCTATGGGCAGTGTTGAGTCTATGGGCAGTGTTGAGTCTATGGTGCAGTGTTGAGTCTATGGGCAGTGTTGAGTCTATGGGTAGTGTTAGTCTATGGGCAGTGTTGAGTCTATGGGCAGTGTTGAGTCTATGGGTGGTGTTAGTCTATGGTGCAGTGTTGAGTCTATGGGCAGTGTTGAGTCTAATGGCAGTGTTAGTCTATGGTGCAGTGTTGAGTCTATGGGCAGTGTTGAGTCTATGGGCAGTGTTGAGTCTATGGGCAGTGTTGAGTCTATGGGCAGTGTTGAGTCTATGGGCAGTGTTAGTCTATGGGCAGTGTTAGTCTATGGGCAGTGTTAGTCTATGGGCAGTGTTGAGTCTATGGGCAGTGTTGAGTCTATGGGCAGTGTTAGTCTATGGGCAGTGTTAGTCTATGGGCAGTGTTAGTCTATGGGCAGTGTTGAGTCTATGGGCAGTGTTGAGTCTATGGGCAGTGTTAGTCTATGGGCAGTACGTATGTTGGTTGGACTTCTTTCGCACCCTACGTAGCCAACTGCCCCAACCGGAGGCAGTGGGTGCACGCGGCCCCAATCTCACTCTCGCGACGGCGTGATCCAATCTAATCGCCCGCGGCCGATTTGCCCACATATCCGTGCGGGCAATCGCGCCGCGCCTCCAGGATCGTGTCGACCGACGGCGGTTCGCAGGCGTCCACGCGACGAGCCAGCGTCGCTGCAACTGGTCCCCTATCCCACTCCGCAACCCGTTGCAACCCGTTGCAACCCGTTGCAGAGATGCCCCAGAGTGATGCGATTCGTTTTACGCGTTAAGCGACCGTTTAGGCGTGGACTTGGCTTTCGGCCGAGTCCACCTAGGGAAGGCCCCGATGGCACGCGCGTGAGTGAGCCGTCACGGCTGCGATGCACTGCATCGCCCACCGTGGCTGGGAGTGGAACTGGGGCTGGGCAGGATCGCGGTGCGGGACGCCACGTCACTCCCCACACAAACGGCACGCACGCGCTCACACGGCACGCACATGGACACCGTGGGCGTTGAGCTATCGCCAGACGGTCCTCCAGATGGGATGAGTTGAGTCACGAGTAACGGAAAGCACGTGTGTGTGTGTGCGTGTCTGTGTGTGCGTGGATGTGTGCATGCATAGGGTGTGTGCGTGTGTGTGTGTGTGCATGGGGTGTGTGCATGGGGTGTGTGCGTGTGTGTATGTATGTGTGTGCTGGCGGTGGTGTAGTGGTTAGCGCATGTGCCGTGCTGGCCTTCATAGGTGCTCGCTAACAGCACTTGTCCCAACAGTCTGTCAAGGTTACACGGGGGATCTTTGTCTTTGTATGGGTAGCGGTAGTGGAGTAGCGTTTAGCACGCTGCCCTATGAACCCGGCATCCCGAGTTTGATTCCCACTCACAGCCAATACCGGTGACGATTATCTGAACCGGTGCTGGGCCTCCCCTAGGTAGACTCAGCCTCAAATGAGTACCTGGTGCGGTGCGTAGTAAACATCGCCATGCGGGGAGACAAAGGCGGCCGGGTGTGGTGCTGGCCACCCACCCCCTCGTGTGCCGTGCCGGCCTTTCATAGGTGCTCTCTAACAGCACTTGCCCCAACAGTCTGTCAAGGCTACACGGGGGATCTTTGTCTTTTACTTTGGCTGAGTGAGTGGGTGGGGCGCTTGCGTGGTTGAGTGTGGGCGAGTGAGTGGGTGGGAGTCGTTGTCGTTGTTGACGAGACGAAGCCGTCAGGTAGCCCCGAGCCCCCAACGTGAATGGAGGAATCAGGGAGTGAAGTCCACGGGAAGGGTGGCCAATTGATGAGAGGCGCTGCACACGCTGCAGTAGCCACCACTCATGGTCCAGCGATGCCTACATCTCACTTCCTGTGCATGATCTCATTCTCTGCATATGTATGTATGTTGAACTTCTTTCGCACCGTACGTAGCCAACCGTGCTAATCGGAGGTGCGGGGTGAGTGTGTGGGTAAGTGGTTGGGTGAGTGTGTGGGTGAGTGTGTGGGTGAGTGTGTGGATGAGTGTGTGGGGTGAGTGGTTGGGTGAGTGTGTGGGTTGAGTGTGTGGGTGAGTGTGTGGGTGAATGTGTAGGTGAGTGTGTGGCTGAGTGTGTGGGTGAGTGTGTGGGTGAGTGGTTGGGTGAGTGTGTGGGTGAGTGAGTGTGTGGGTGAGTGTGTGGGTGAGTGGTTGGGTAAGTGGTTGGGTGAGTGTGTGGGTGAGTGTGTGGGTGAGTGTGTGGGTGAGTGTGTGGGTTAGTGTGTGGGTGAGTGGTTGGGTGAGAGGTCGGGTGAGTGTGTGGGTGAGTGTGTGGGTGAGTGTGTGGGTGAGTATGTGGATGAGTGTGTGGGTGAGTGTGTGGGTGAGTGTGTGGCTGAGTGTGTGGGTTAGTGTGTGGGTGAGTGGTTGGGTGAGTGGTTGGGTGAGTGTGTGGGTGAGTGTGTGGGTTGAGTGTGTGGGTGAGTGTGTGGGTGAGAGTGTGGGTGAGTGTGTGGGTGAGTGTGTGGGTGAGTGTGTGGGTGAGTGTGTGGGTGAGTGGTTGGGTGAGTGTGTGGGTGAGTGTGTGGGTGAGTGGTTGGGTGAGTGTGTGTGTGGGTGAGTGTGGGTGAGTGTGTGGGTGAGTGTGTGGGTGAGTGTGTGGGTGAGTGTGTGTGGGTGAGTGTGTGTGGGTGAGTGTGTGTGTGGGTGAGTGTGTGTGTGGGTGAGTGTGTTGGTGAGTGTGTGGGTGAGTGTGTGGGTGACTGTGTGGGTGAGTGTGTGGGTGAGTGTGTGGGTACGCAGAAGCACACAGAAGTAACATGGAGGAGCACACGGCACAGGCGGCAATATGCAGAAGCGCAGACGGAAGCGGACGGACAAAAAAACAAGCGGTCGGGAGCAGAAGCGCGGAGAGGCAGCGTGCGGGGAGGCAGCGTGCGGGGAGGCAGTGGGAGCGCTACCTGGATGCAGGCGCCCGTGCGCTCGTGACAGAGGCAGCAGAGGAGGGCCCAGCGCGTGGGGGGGATGAGCGAGAGGCGCGTGATCGGCTCCATCTTCTCAGGGCACCCGATGCTCACCTGCACCATCGCGCACACACAAAGACAAAGGTGCCCCCCGTGTAGCCTTAGCAGACTGTCGGGGCAAGTGCTGTTGGAGAGCACCTACACCTATGAAGGCCGGAACGGCACACGAGGGGGGTGGGTGGCCAGCGCCACGCCCGGCCGCCTTTGTCTCCGCACCAGGTCCTGATTTGAGGCTGAGTCGACCTAGGGGAGGCCCAGGACCGGTTCAGATAATCGCTATCACTGGTGTTTGTTGGAACGGGAATTAAACTCGGGCCGCCGGATTCGTAGCGCAGCGCGCTAACCGCTACTACACTACCGCTCCCCACCACACACACGCACAGACACACACGCGTGTAGACACACACACACACGCACACGCACACACACGCACACACATGCACACACACGTGGAGACGCTGGCACATCCAGGCCGAGCCAGCCCAGCGCGGCTTCGGAGGCAACAGGCGGCAGCGTTTCCACCGTAGATGCCGAGCTGTGCCGCTAATGGCGGAGGACCCGGAGAAAAATCCACGCTACCACGGGGAGAGAAACACGCAAACTCCAAATATACAGCAGCAGGCGTTAGGGTGGGGATCGAAATCACGACCTCCTGCATATCAGGCGAGGCAGTTAAGATCTCACCACCGTGCCTGGTCTACAGGAGATCGTGGGTTCCATCCCGACCCTGACGCCTGCTGTGTATTTGGAGTTGGCGTATTTCTTTTACTGTGTTGGCGTAGATTTTATTACGAGTCCTCAGTTTTTTTCCCTCCAGATTTAGAATCAACGTCACACGTTCAGAGAATCTGGCTGCTGCTGTACATTTGCACATGAAGATAAGCCACTTCGTTGAGCTATCATCATTTATATACACTACACTACTATACACTATACTACTATACACTACACTACTATACACTACACTACTATACACTACACTATACGCTACACTACTATACACTATACTACTATACATTACACTACTATACACTACACTATACACTACACTATACACTACACTACTATACACTACACTACTATACACTACACTACTATACACTACACTACTATACACTACAATACTATACACGACACTACTATACACTACACTATACGCTACACTACTATACACTACACTACACACTACACTACTATACACTACACTATACACTACTATAAACTACACTATACACTACACATTTGGCTCTATGGAGGCCTGCCGTTAGCGGATTAGTTGTGAACATGCGTGCTCGCTAAGAGGAGTTCTACAGCACATCTCAGTGGGCCTCCTCACCCGGTAGAATAAAAACTGTTTCGTCGTTAAAGGGGTCGCGCGTTTGACGGGCGTCAATCACCGATTCGCTCCAATCGCCGGACTGACAGTCACTCGCCTCCTGACCGCTGCGGTTGCTGTTCCCGTCAACTTCACTTCTTGATTCCCCCCCCCCGCCCCCCCGGGGTCGTTCAGAGGTGGGGGGAGGGGAAACGAGCGGCCTGGGCCTCTCACAAAACAGGGCCCCACGATGCGAGCGACATTTTCCCGTCGCCAAGAATGTCCTCTCGAGTCTGGCTCGGAGCTCGGCAGGGGTGGGGGGGTTAACGGCGCCGCGTTCACCACGCCACGGCAGTCGGCACGACGCGGTGAGACCGTGGCGTCGCTGCGTCACCGACGCGCTCCTCCCATCGTCCGCGCGTTCGGGTTTCCGCTCCGCAACGAGAATCGGCGTCACGCGTTTTACAGGAAATTGGCTGCTGCTATTAATGCAGTCAACCCCTTGTCAGCAGTGTCCCCAACACCTTACGACAGACCCTTGTCAGCAGTGCCCCCTACACCTTACTACAGACCCTTATCAGACCTTATTGGTCACCCCGTGCCCATTATAAATCTCAACGTTCATCCTACAAAGGCCCATCACAAGGGAGAAACACAAATAGACAAATTATGTTATCGTTGTTGAAACGGCTGTACGCGGTATGGACCAGAAAACTCAAGTTCCCCGTACGAGAATACGGGGTAAACCGTGTGGGTGGACAGCCGTGTGATTGTCCACGTGATGATGATGATTGAGCTGTCGTTTGCGACGGCCAGGTCGCTTCTGCAAAAGAGCGCCACGGCGCTTAGCGGGGCCTCGTCAAATAAAACCCAAAAAAATCGGTTTACACCTCGTCGCCAAGCGCCACGGAGCTCGTCAGCGCAAACTCTCCCCCGCCGCCGCGTCGTCGCCCCTGACCTCGGGGATCCAGAGGGCGCAGCTGACGTGCGCCCACTTCCCTCCGCTGCGCGTCGGCTTCATGGCTCCGTCTCGCCGGGGGCACAGCTGGCAGCGGGGGGCGGCCACCCCGCGGTCGCACACGCGGCACAGCCAGCTCCCCGCAGGTACGCACGCGATGCCGTAGCAAGCCTGGGTACACACGCGCACACACGCACGCAACAGCGCGGTCAGCGGGCAAGTATTTGCACAGACGAGCGCGCAAGCATAGGTGAGTACACACACGCGCATCCATAGGTACATGTGCGCACCCACATACGCGCCCACACACGCGCATAGGTACGTACGCACACGTGCACGTGCACAAACACAGGTACATACGCACACACACTCATAGGCGCACATGCACACACATAGTTACATAGCACTAAGATGCCCCGTATAGCCTTCACAGACTGTAGGGGCAAGTGCCGGCTCGGCACACGAGGGGATGGGTGGCCAGCACTACGCCCGGCCGCCTTTGTCTCCCCAGTGGCGATATTTACACACCGCACCAGGTACTCATTTGAGGCTGAGTCGACCTAGGGGAGGCCCATGACCTGTTCATATATTCGTCACCGGTGTTGGCCGTGAGCGTGAATCGAATTCGAGCCGCGGGGATCTTAGCGCAGCGCGGACCACCGCTCCCCCCACCACGTGGACACACTCGCTCACACTCACCCACGTGGACACGCTCGCACGCAGACTTCACAGGACAACCAGAGCAAAGATTTAGGATTCATATTCAACTCCAGCACCATTGGTCCTCAACGGCCACCAACACCCAGGGCCATTGCACCGATGCCCCCCCAAGCCGAAGCCAGCCCGGCGGCCGCGCACCTGGTGGACGCACACGTCGCACTTGTCGCAGAACACCATCTCGTTGCCGTCCTCGGCGTGCGGGGAGCGGCACACGTCGCACACCACGTCCGCGTCGAACTCGATGCCCAGCGCCGCCTCGGTGCTGAGCGCCCGCAGAGCCGAGTCGGCGCAGCGCCGCTCCAGCCGCGACAGCGCCGCCTCCAGGGAGCGCTCGCGCACCGGCGGCAGCCCTAGCGCCATCGTCGTCATCCAACTGATTACTAATCTACAACTCGCATCGTAACAACTGCCTGATTACTAATCTAGTATATAATTACAATAACCCCCCCCCCCTCAAATCGTTGCACCTGATTAGTTAATGATGACGTCACCCTGCTGCTGCTCTATATAAGAACGGGAGACACAGCAGAGCCTCACCATTCTGGCAAATTGCCCGATGATGCTGGATGCAATTACCAGCGAAACGTCGTGCTACTCAAATTGTAAATGTTGTGGTTTCACGCTTCAACACACCGGTGGGCTAAAGCAGTGAACTATTTGTCTTTTGTCAACGTGACACTTTTTTACTGATTGGCCGTGTCGGGTGGTGGAGGGTTACGACACATTTATAAATAACGCGATCTAAACCCAAAAACGTTGATTATGAGCACACGGACTTTATCATCGCCACCGTGGCGCCCCTACGTGGATTGTGTTTGAGACTGACTGGCCTACACCAGAGACAGCCTTCTCTACCGCCTAGTCTCAGCCAGAGAACGCCGAAAGGCGAACAGTTAAAGTTGTGACACCGGCAAAAGGTCCCGTAGACACAGTCTGGTGCCTGGGTCTGAGCCTGCCACGTCGGCGGTGCCGGCTCCACGCTCCGATCGAGCCAAGGCACCTGGTCACTTCGAGTTGTTAAACTAAACTATCAAATGTTTTTTTTTTTATTTTACCAGGTAAGGCCCACTGAGCTATATTGCTCTTTTGTTGTCAGCGACCTGGCGATCACAAATGAGAGCTCAACAATGTGGCTCATCATCATCGTGTGCAGATTTATAGCAGCCAAATACTCGAAACGCATGTTGATTTTAAATGTGGAGGGGGAAAAAACGGTGGACCCGGAGAAAAATCCACGCGGCTACGGGATGGCGAAAGCCTGGAAGTGTTAAACTGGGGAGAGAGAGACACCGCAAACTATAAATATAGAGGGCTTAGGGTCGGGATCGAACCCACGACCTTCTGTATACCAGGCGAGGTAGTTAACATCTCCTAGCCACCTTGATGATGATGAGAGAGACACGCAGACTCTAAATATACAGCAGGCATCATCAGGGTCAGGATCAAACCCACACCCTCCTGTATACCAGGCGAGGTAGTTAACATCTCCTAGCCACCGTGGCATTTCAGCCGAGTCTTGAGCCTTCTTGTTGACCAGAAAAATAGAGAGAGAAAACAAACCCCACTGATTTTAAGTTAAAAGAAATAACGCAGAACAATCGCACCAAAAGAACTCCACCGCATACAGTCCCCTCCCCAACACCCCCCTTCCTGTCTTTGCCACTTCAAAAAAAAATGGTTGCCAGGCCATGTGTCTCACATTGGAAACAAGATGTCAGAGGTCTCTGGGTTGAAACTGTAAATGGCACGTGAAAACAATTCCGCTGGTTCACAAAGCGTGCCATTAAAGAGTTGCACTGCCGGGAACCTTGTGTGTGTGTGTGTGTGCGTGTGTGGGGAGCGGTAGTGTAGCGGTTCGCGCGCTGCACTGCGAACCTGGCGACCCGGGTTCGATTCCCGCTCACGGAAAGCACCAGTGACGATTATCTCAACCGGTCCTGGGCCTCCCCTAGGTCGACTCAGCCTCAAATGAGTACCTAGTGCGATGTGTAAACATCGCCGCTAGGGAAACAAAGGCGGTCGGGCGTGGTGCTGGCCACCCACCCCCTCGTGTACCGTTCCGGCCTTCATAGGTGCTCGCTAACAGCACTTGCCCCTACAGTCTGTTAAGGCTATATGGGGGATCTTTGTTGTGTGCGTGCATGTACGTGGAACTTCTTTCGCACTGCACGTAGCCAACCGTGGAGAAAACTACAGCCGGGGACTGGAATGATTAAGATAAAATTGGGACGTAAGGCGCTTTCAAACGCTGGGTTATTTAATCTACGACCTCGCCTGGTATGCAGGAGGGTCGTAGGTTCGATCCCAACCCTGACGCCTGCTGCTGTATATTTGGAGTTTGCGTGTCTCTCTTTCTCTCCCCGTGGTCGCGTGGAATTTTCTCCGGGTCCTCCGGTTTTTCCCTCCACGCGTTTAGAGTATTAAGCTGCTTTAACTTTCCACGTGATGATACGTAAATTTCGTTGGGCAATATCATTTGTGATGGCCAGGTCGATCCTGAAAAGGGCTCAGTGGGGCCTTACCTGGTAAAATAAAAGATGGTAAAAAAAGTGTTAAAATAGTTGCCATTATGTGCAAATGCTTAAATCCTTCATAGTGCCCGAATGGTACATTTATAATACAAAACAGTTGCAATGCTTAAGGTTCAAAGATAAAAGAGTCAGCCAATCGATACAACAATAACAACAAAACCAGCGAGAGAATCATCAAAAAGAAAACGCGGCGTGCGCAGATTCTTTGCTTTTCAATAATTAACCCCCCGTCGGACGGACCTGTTTTTTGTGTTTTTTTCTCGTGCACATTAAACAGCCGAGAGGAGGCCGGCCAGCACGTCAGAGGTCAGGGCGCAGAGCCGGCACCTCTGAGGACCTGGGTTCGAACCCAGGTCTCAGCCGCCGCCCATGATTAACAGCGAGTTCCCAAGCGTAGTGGAGTTGATGGTCTCTCTCAGCCTGGTCGGAATCAGAATCTTTTATTTGTGCTGGAGGAGACATCCGGTGAGCTATGAAGCCATTTTTATTATTACACGCTTTTTATTTAACTCACTCTGTCTGTTGTTGCTGTTGTTGTCGTATCGTCAAATCTTGTAACTCAATTTTAACCCACTTCCTAATGTGATATAGACTGCAAACTTGGTATACTTATGTCATACTGATGACAATACCATATTCTATTATTTAAAAAAAAATTATATTTAAAAACATTATTTTGTATATGTTATGTTTTGGCTTGGCTCTAATTGTCCACGGTCAACTGACGTTGGCTGTAATTGGCCACGGTCCCTGACGTTATGGCAAGCTTCGGGGCCACTTCCTGGAGTCGTGGAGTTCTTCCATTGCTAGCACGGTACATTTCATGAAAGCGTGTTTTGAATAGTTTTTTAATCTTACTTTTTCACACATATCCAGTTAGGGGCACCGTGTCAGAAAGTTACAGCAACAAACAAAAAAGACAAAAATCCCCCGTATAACCTTAACAGACTGTTGGGGCAAGTGCTGCTAGCGAGCACCTATGAAGACCGGCACGCAGTTCAGAGGATTACAGAAATGTCGGTATGACTGCCTTACAATGAACACTTCTCTGTAAGGGGCATGCGGGAAAGTGTGCATCTTTAGTGGATGGACAGGAACATGCGTTTAGATTATTTTGCTGCTATACCTTCACAAGTGATAAGCAACTTCGTTGAACTATCATTTGTGGCCAGGTCGCTTCTGAAAAAGAAGCCAATGGCTCAGTGGGGCTGTACCTGGTAAGAAAAAACTATTTAGCTTTATTTATATATTTTATTAAGCGATGTGCTCACCTTTCCTATACTTTGCACTCCTATCGTGTGTCTATCTTGTTTGTTGTTGTTCACGTTCTGACCCCGTGCCCCAACTGGACATCTGATTCCACGCAGTACAAATAAATTCAGTCTGACTCTGTTGACTCTTGACTTGAAGGGATCTCAAAACGTAGTTCCGCAAAATATGCTTCTGCAGTTCAACAAGTACGCGACCAATGTAATCCATAACAGAGGTTTTGGGATAGATTGCGTGGATATAAATGTGTCGCCACCACCCAACACAGCCAATTGGTAAGGTTGTGTTACTAGTTCAGCACACCGGTGTGTGTGTGTGCTGGAGAGTAAACCACTGCCCGGGCGGCGAGCCACTCACCCATTTTTGTCATCTCGCCGTTGGCGGCTCGGAGCCAGCTGACGTCCACGTCGTCGAGGTCGTACTGAGTGGCCTCTTCCCCGCGGTCGTGATCTCTGGTGGCCGGGGGGGTCCTGAGCACGTCGTCGGGGTCAGGGTCGGGGTCGGGGAGAAGGCGGTGGGGCGGAGGCTCCTCCCAGCGGTCGCTGCACCAACCCTGGTTCAGGATCCTGGACGGAGAAAAGAAAGAAAACAATCATTTTGATAAATTACAAACATTACTAAAACATAACAGTAAAATACATATTTTCTACCTGCGTGACTTTGACGAAAGAACCAAAGGGTATGGATCCGTGCAGTCACAAAAACTTCTAATCGAGATGCAAGACAAACATTAAACCGCGAGTCACATTCGGCGCCTGTGTCAGTCTTACGGCGACTTTGTCGAGCCATTACTTGCGTTGGCTTGGTTGCTTCTGAAGAATGAGTTGCTTCCTCAAGGGGGGGGGGCTTTGCCTGGTAGGATGGGGATGGTTTAGTTTGAATTTGCATCTTTTTGGGGCGATTTGTGTTGCCTGTCCTGTACCTTGCACTCCTGTCAGGCGGACAGCCTGATGGTGGCTGCGTTGTAATTGCTGGCGAAACGTCGCACTCGAGTTGTAAATGTCGTGGGTTTACTCCCCAACACACAGCCGGTGTGCCGTACTCGTGTCGAGGAGTCGTGGGAGGAAGTGAGGGCATCGGCAGGAGAGAACGGGCTTACGTCATAGGGTGACGTCACGTTACCCAGAGGAGATGGGTACTTAAAGGGGACCCCGGGACGAGGGGCGGGGTCCTTGTGGGGAGCCGAAGGAACGGAGGTCTCGAGGGGACAGAAGACGCGCCGAACGGAAGACGCGCCGCTCGGCACCGGGACCCTCGGCCGAGGAAAGAGTGGGATTAGTGGGGAGCTTAGTGAGGGTAGGCCGAGGAGTTAGGCGGCTACCGGGACGGTCCACGGGAAGGACCAAGTGGAGAAGCGTCTACCTCGGGTGTGATCCGGTGATACTGTACGTAAGTGTATTAGTTGATATAGTAAATAAACTGGCTAATTAATAAACTGCTCCTCTCTCACATTAACATAGCCACTTCCGTGCCCAGTTACATGCTAATTTCTCACATTAACATCGCTAGACCCGGCCACTTCTTTATGACCCTTGGGCTACACCCATTTCAAACCTTTTAAAACAGTCTGCCTCAGCAGCAGATCATGATTTCCCACCTGATGACGGAAGCTTGTGTTGCGCCCGAAACGTCGTGATTTATTTAATTTTCTACCCACCTGACTTTACCGAAAGAACCAAAGAGTATGGATTCCTGCAGTCACGAAAACTTCAAATCAAGATTGGCAAGAGCCCTTACAGAGAATGTCGTCTCCGTGTGGGTTTACACCACAACAGTAGTAACGAATTGGCACGTGTTGTTTACGTGGCAAAGCTGACTAATGAATTGGCTGTTGTCGAGCGATGAAAACATGAGCTGCGTTATGCGCAGTCCTCACCTGAAGCTGGGCACCGGGATGGATTCTGGACAAACCGGCACCTGGACTCCACGCTCCCACTCTGGTCTCCAGGGGTCGGCGAGCAGATAAAACTGACCCGGCACCAAGGATCCGGAGTCTGGCAGCTTCATGGCGCTGATGAGGTCAGTGCGGAAAATCTGGAGCACATCGAGAACAAGGGGCCGGGGTCAGTGGAAGTGACGATACGGCCGACCAGAATCTCCACCACCATCATCATCACCACCGTCACCACCACCGTCAGCCATGTATGGATGTATGCAAAACTTTCTTCACACCCTACGTAGCCAACCGCGCTAGTCGGAGGTGTGTATGTTGAACTTCTTTCGCACCGTCTCGTGGCACGACCCCGAATGCACGAGTCGAATATCACTGGGGATTGGGGGGACTAAAAAAATAAAATTCTAACCAAAATAAATCTACCCACACACACATACACGGGTAGGCGGGAGGGGGCGGGCTACATTCCACGAGAGCGACTCAGCTCCCGCGCAACTGTTCAAGGCATGAATTCAGAACAAATATACTCAAACTGACGAGTTCAGTGCATCGTAGAACCACGGGCACGCTGCCCGTATTCTAGCGCCGAACGTCATTGTACAGATCTGGTCTCGCGCAGACAACAACAATAACCGCCATTCGCCATGAAATTGCGGTGACGTCACCACGGCGCTTGTGCCAGGCTAAGTGCAATTTAAGGCCACGAGAAGTGTCGAACGCCCTCTGGCAGGAGGTCACGGGACAGACCCAGGTGCCATGGGTTAACTGATTCACACAGACACGCACCCACAACAACGCAACACGCTCGCAAGCAACGCTGTGTGGCCTTAAGAAGAAGAAACCAACAATATATAACGGCAAACTTTTCGGGCAAAGGGCCCCTCCATCGCAGCACAGAAAAACTCAAGAGTTTGTGCACTGCTGCTGCCAACGCACCACCACCACCACCACGTGTTCAGCGACGCCGTCACGATATTCGCTCTCACGTTTTCGTCGTTGTTGTTGTATTAAAACAGAGGTGGCAGAAGAGCACACCGCCTCAAACCCAGCGCAGTAGGACGACCGCCGTGGCTCGCATGTCCACGGCACTTCGCTTGGGAGAGCGAGAGGCGTGATTGGAGAGCCCGAACCACCGCCACCCGTCTTGCCGCCGAGACCGCCCCCCCCCCCACCGCCACTGAGGTTGCGTCTGCCACGTGAATGCGAACGCATGATGTTGTAACAGTTCAACGCGTTAGTAGGAGTAGGAGAACGGCTTTCGCGACCAATAATATCCACTGGAGGTTTTTTCAATCTTGATTTGAAGCTTTCGTGACTGCAAGAATCCATACAATCTAAGACAGTCTGCCTCAGCAGCAGGCCACGCTTTCACACCTGATGAAGGATGCTTGTGTTGTTCCCGAAACGTCGTGATTTGTTTTATTCTATACCCACGTGACTTTGTTGTTTGTTGGGGTGAGATCGCGTAAATATAAATTCCAGCCAATTAGCAAGAATGCGTCAAGTAAACAAAACGTGGCATTTCGTTACGAGTCCAGCCACACGCACACCGCTTGTGTGTTGAAGGGTAAACCCACCACATTTTACCGATGAAGCGAATTATAATGACAGGTGAAACGTCACGGTAGTCGAACTGTAAGCGTTGTGAGTTTACTCTCCAAAACACAGGCGTGCTCAACTCGTAACCAATCAGGCACATTTTCTTTACGTGACAAAAAAGAAAAACCTCACTAACTGGCTGCGTCAGGGGATTGCGGGTTTAACGACACATTTATATGCACGCAATCCAACCCAAACAAGTATAACCCGTAAAAACAAAGTTTTTCACTCTAAATCCTTTTTATGCGTGGCGGCTAGAGTCCTCTCGTCCTCTGGCCTGAGATGGCTGCCACCTATGGGTCAGATGATTGTCTGCCAGTATTAAGCAATTGGTAATTAAATATTTAATTTGTTTTCCCTAAACAGTGTAAAATTTTGGAAAAATTTTTTGTCTCGCACAACGAGTCTGTGTGCAAAATGTCAGCTCGATTGGATTACGGTAAGTGGGTTAAAAAACGACCGAAAGATTTGCACGGTCGTAAGCAAGCACGCAAGCAAGCAAGCGAACTTAATATAAAGGATTTAAAAAAGCCTCTCACGGATCATTTTAGCCGCGAAAGAGCCAACGTGTTAAACCCACGGCAAGTTGACCCATCGCCATCTGTTCCCATCTGTACGTGGCCCCCTAGCACGTATGCGAGGGTTTTCTCCGGGCGCTCCGGTTTTTTCTCCCACACGTATAATAATAATGATAAACAAAACCCTCCACTGTGGATGTTGTAATGCTCAACGGAGAGAGGATGCGCGCTTCCCTCCCTACCGCGTCTCTTTGTGCGAAGAGACAGCAGCGGTGTCGTGGCGATTGTAGAGGACGAGCTTCACTAGCCGGCTTCGCCCGGGACGTGGATTCTTGTCTTGGATTAATACGCGAAGGGTGGGGGGGCGGGATGCGTGACGTCATCAGGCGCACTGCGTGATGTCATCAGGCGCACTGCGTGACGTCAGCAGGCGCACTGCGTGACGTCATCAGGCGCACTGCGTGACGTCAGCAGGCGCACTGCGTGACGTCATCAGGCGCACTGCGTGACGTCATCAGGCGCACTGCGTGACGTCATCAGGCGCACTGCGTGACGTCATCAGGCGCACTGCGTGACGTCATCAGGCGCACTGCGTGACGTCATCAGGCGCACTGCGTGACGTCAGCAGGCACACTGCGTGACGTCATCAGGCGCACTGCGTGACGTCAGCAGGCGCACTGCGTGACGTCATCAGGCGCGCTGCGTGACGTCATCAGGCGCGCTACGTGACGTCAGCAGGCGCGCTGCGTGACGTCATCAGGCGCGCTGCGTGACGTCATCAGGCGCGCTGCGTGACGTCAGCAGGCGCACTGCGTGACGTCAGCAGGCGCACTGCGTGACGTCAGCAGGCGCACTGCGTGACGTCATCAGGCGCACTGCGTGACGTCATCAGGCGCACTGCGTGACGTCAGCAGGCGCACTGCGTGACGTCATCAGGCGCACTGCGTGACGTCATCAGGCGCACTGCGTGACGTCATCAGGCGCACTGCGTGACGTCAGCAGGCGCACTGCTTGACGTCAGCAGGCGCACTGCGTGACGTCAGCAGGCGCACTGCGTGACGTCAGCAGGCGCACTGTGTGACGTCATCAGGCGCACTGTGTGACGTCAGCAGGCATCACAGATGTGACGTCACCGCTCACTTGCCGTGCAAAATATATCTATTATTGCGCCCCCCTCCCTCCCCAAAATACAAAAGCCTATGTTTATACTTTTTCCATTGTGTACAGTCTGGAAAGTACCCACACGCCAAATTTCAAGTTTGTAGCTAAACATTTCCAACAGACACACACATTCACACATTTCCCTTTTATATATATATAGATGTACGCGACGCGGTGGGTTGGTGGTTGCAGCGGCGGCGGTTACTGCGGTTAGCGCGCCGGGCTGCAGAACTTGGCACAATCAGAGTTTTCATTTCCTGGCCGTGGCTATTGGCAGTGGCAGGTGATAGACCCGAATCAGTCCGGAGTAAGCTCAGCAGCAGGTTCAAGCTTGGATAACGCTCGGATGGGTGGACACCGTGCATGCCAGGTTGTCATCAGCTGCTGTGCTACAGCGTGGTCAGCGGAGCTAAAGCCATTGTTGCACGACACTTCGACGCTCCCTCGCCGATGCTCCCACGCCTTTGCCAAGCCGGCACTAGCCAGCGCGGTGAAGTACGGTCAGAGGACTCCCCCCCCGTGATCCACACAGCGTCGCTATCCACACAGTGTGGGGGAGGCCTTAATCCAGCAGTAGATTGACAAAAGCGCCGGACGTGTACACGCTCAGTGTATTTGGAATGCACGATCTGTTAATGGTCGTGATGATGATATGAACGATGCTGCTGATGATGATAGACGAGATATAAGTAAAGAGACCAGTATCATGAGAGCCGTGATAGTGATCGCGGCAGTAGTGATGATCATCATGTTGGGGGTGCCACAGTGCCGAGATGTTAACTACCTCGCCTGGCATATAGGTCGCGGGGTCGATCCTGCGCGTCTCTCTCCCTGTGGCCGCGTGGATTTTTCTCCGTTTTTTTCCCTCCAAGTTTAGGATCAACGTCACGCGAACCACTGCTCAGCGGTTGACAGGTTTGGTATGTTATGCCATCTAACCCAACAACAACAAAAAAGAGAAACCTCGGTTGCGAGTGCTGCTGCGTCTCGGGCGCTTTTCTTGCGAGCGGCGGATTTTTTTGCCGCACCGCTGGCGGCTCCTTGCTGGAATGCCGGCCCCGGTTCCACGCCGGCACGGGGCGCGTGCGCCCAGAGTACCGAAGTCGCCAACCGTTGCCGAAGAGAGCAGAAGCAGCCAAATGTTCGCGACGTTCCCGCGAAGAAACGTCACGAACATTCGGTGCGTCGGTCCGATGGCGATAACAAAAAGGTAACAACGGAGTCGTTAGGAAAGGGGCCCCAGAAGGCCGCTGACATTTGGCGCGTGAGCGGGGAGGAGCGGCGGGCTCCGTGGTTAGTGCACCGCCCGCGACGGACGTGGCCCCCTCCCACGACCGACGCGTCGGCGGCAAGCCACGTCTGCAAGCGTTCCCGAGGCCTCACCGGGCACGCACCGATCGGCGTGGTGAAGTATGGTCACACAGACCCCCTCCCCCGCCCGCCCGCCCCCCGCCCCCCCTCCCCACGTGCCGAAACGGGGTACAGGGACGCCTTCATCCACCAGTGGCTTCAAGAACGAGGGCCCAAAAACGTCGCCAAGTGTGTCGTTTTTTTCCTTCTTTTAAGGCCACACGGTATTGCTTGCGAGCGTGTTGAGTTGTTGTAGGTGTGTCTGTGTGTGTCGTGGGGAGCGGTAGTGTAGCCGTTAGCGCGCTGCGCTACGAACCCGGCGATCCGAATTCGATTCCTGCTCAAGGCCAACACCAGTGACGATTTCTGAACCTATTCCGGGCCTCCCCTAGGTCGACTCAGCCTCAAATGAGTACCTGGTGCGGTGTGTAAACATCACTACCGGGGAGACAAAGGCGGCCGGGCGTGGCGCTGGCCACTCACCCCCTCGTGCGCCGTGCCAACCTTCAGAG